AGACTCGGACTGCCACATTGGAGGGTGGGGGGAGTGAGCTGACTTCAGCCCGGATTCAGTCCTCGTTTGGTAGCAGCCAAAAAGGCTCTGAGAGTCTCGCGACACGCCGACAGTTGTGAATTGAATGTTTGCCAGTTGATAAGGCAATTGGCGAGCAAGCTGTAATGTCTCCTTATTGTGGGATTTAGGGCGCTTTCACTTCTTACGATATGGAACCCCTTCTTTGAAGTCAGCTTGGTGGGTAGTCGGGGACCAGTAAATGCGTAGTACTCGCAGACATATACTGTACTTGCATTTGGTACAGCTGCGATCATGCCTGATCTAGCCGGCCTCAATAATGTTACAAATTGTACCTCTTCATGTGTGGTGATCCGCGACAGCATATCTAGACTGTTTAAATCATTTTTTTCGCCAGCGACCGAAGCCGAATATCGAAGGTCCGAGAATGACTTCCATGTCTTGAAGAACCTTGTCAAATCGGGTTTTGAGCTGGTCCCCTTCTCTGACACCTCCAGTTAGATAGTGTTACCGGATCGATGGCAGTAACACTGCGTTCGTAAGGTGGCCGATGAACGACGTATCGAAACCCCTTCTTTCATCTTTCTAGGATGGCCTGGGATATCCTTGCGGTGTTGTCGCAGTGGGTACAGACTGTCATTTGAGACAAAGTTGGTGTGCTTCACTCGAAGATTGATCCTCGAGCAGTGGTGGTCAAATGCTTCCAATTTTCTTTTATCATCCACGTGTATTCCCCAACATTCACGGTTGTTGAAAAGGACGGACCGGACGGATACACTGTACATGTCGCGTTGGATCTATTGGCACTTTCTCTCCTCAAGCTAGTAAGGCTATATTGTTGGCGTAGTAGAGATCGGCCGGTCAGCCTCGAGGTGCAAGCTCAGTAGCGTAATCATTGTGTGGCGTATTCCCGAGAATCCAGTCAATAGTATAGTCGAACAGAATCGGCGACAAGAATAAAACTTTTCGAACGCCACACCGTATAGTGAGTGGTTGGAAAAGCTTGCTATGGGCCAGAACTCGCGCAGTTGTGGGGCGGTAGTAGACCTTGATCCTGGTGATGGCTTTTGGCGGTACACCATCTGGTGCCATTATCCGCCGTAGGGATTCATGGTGGACGGAATCGAACGCGACGGCAAAGCAGACGGCCATCGGTTGTTGATAGTCTCGACGGAATTCAGGAATGTGCCGCAGTGTGAATATCCTGTCGGAATATCCACGCTCGTCACGAAATCCGGTTTGGTTGGGCTTTGTCCTTGCTTCACGTGCAGATTGGAATCTTTTGAGAAGGACAATAGCGAAGATTTTTGCAGCGACGTCAATGAAACTTATGCCGTATTATCGCATCTCGTCTTATCTACCTTCGTGGGGACAGGTACAAGAATGCTTGACTCCCAGTCATCAGAAATGAGCTCGTATCTCCACGTTTGTTCAATCACCTCATGGAACCAAAGCGCCAGAGTGCCGATACAAGACTCGTAGATTTCGGTGGGTATACCGTCCTCTCCAGGTGTCCTGTTGTTGCTCAGCTTTTGCATGGCTTTGGCTGCTTCCCCTTCAAAAGGGGGTCATATGACACTGCATAGGTTGGAGTGGGAGGAGACTCCGCTGCAGACGGGAACCAGAGGATGCTGGGTTCGGTCTGGAAGTTGAGAAGGTGCTCGAAGTGCTTATGCCAGCGCTCGATCTTGGCCCTGTTATGAACACTAAAGCTGCCATTCACGTCGTAAGCAGTCACTCGGTGCGGAGGACTTGCCATCAACTTGGTGGATAATCTGGTACAGTTTTCGGTGTAATGGATCTCTGTCGGCTTATTTTTAAAAGCTGAAAAGTTGAATAGGACGTCAGATACTGCAGAATTTATTGAAGCCAAAACACTTCGCGACTGCTAATTAGCTGCTGCCTGTCGCCGCAAAACATTAGTAACAAATGAGGGTATAAAGTGAAGCCTCGGATGACGAGCAGTCCCACCATCTACGAGCACTTCAGGTAACGAGCGAGCCACTAGCAGAAAAATTGTTTCGCCTGACGAGCTTCCGCTCAGTTGATGAGCTGTCAGTGTGTGTGCGTGTGCCTGTGTCCGCCGTTGAGTCTTGCTCCCAGGGCGTGGTGGGTCCTCAATCGCCCGCAGCCAATCAGTGAACTGGTGCAATTTGATTGGCTATTTTTTTCGCAAGAAGAGCGTTTCACATGACGAGCTCGGTGCTGGGATGGATGAAACTCGTCAACTGAGGTTCAACTGTGTACAACAAGTTGAATTAGCACAGAAAAAAATTGATGCAAAATCAGCAAGGTCATGGTATACTGTCAAGTAGGCTAATCAATAGAAATAGCAACTCAAAACACCTCATAGAAAACAGAAGTGGGGAAAATCTTTAAAAAAGAGAAAGAAATTTGTAAATCTAGGAGCTGGATTTTACCAAGGCAAATGCAGGTTAACAGCATGCTCCAAACGTTTGCGTACATCGCGAGATTTTTTGGTTCTAATGAATTCTGCAGTATTTGCATGCTTAAAATTCTTAGGAGAGAAGAAGAATGCTTCAAATAGGACCTCATAAAACGTTTTACCGTTCACCTTATCCTGCTCACAAAATCCGCCACTAACGCTCTCTGCCACAGCTAGTCTCTCAGTCGCCGGCATTTTTGCTTACAGCCGGGGCACTCCGCCCCCTCCCCTTACTCCTGCGGGGAGTCTGGGGCCCCGACTTGGGGTACAACGGACAGGATGTTATTTTTCGTAGCTGCGAACCTGAGTTCCCGCACACTGCTCGTATCTCTCACAAACCTGCTGTTGGACCTGCCGCCCCCCCCCTTCCCCAAACTACCGCTAAGCACAAGCATTTTTGCCGAGCAAAAAATGCAGAAAGTAATCCGACCTCTGTGTCAGCTACATACCTCGCTTACACAAAGACAATTTCGTAAACCTACCAGTCGTGGACCTTGGGGTATCAAGAAACCAAACCTCTGTG